AATCCTAATGCTGAGGCTGAGTGAATATTTTGCGGGGCTTGTCCCAAAGGCTTCATCAATAAGGACGCATAATCTGTTTAGTAAATTGCTCTAACAGGCAGTGATAATTATTAATGTATTTAAATGTGGCTGGTTATTGAATGGCTTGTATATTTATTAATTATAAAGGAGACCTGTGACCATGTGGTTAAACAGGCTTGAGTGCTGACACGAAGGTCTGATGTTCTCTTTGGGGAAGTTCTCTCCTGTCCAGCAGGGTCACTTTGAATTGGAAATGACTCAACATCAGTGGGGTAGTTTTGTTTTGTTTTGCTTTGTTTGTGTGGCAGTTACATAATCTCCTGTCAACTTGCAACAGGGTGGAGTCTAGTCTATCAAACAGGCCATAGCCAATGAAGCCTTTGTGTGGACATGGCCTTCTCCAAAGGATTCTGGGAACTCCTGTAATTCCTCCCTGCAGGTGGGAGACTCTTTGCTTCGTCTTCCTGCTCACAAGACACAAGGAGCTGTGCTAGAGCCCTGGAGCTGGAAGAGCTACTTGGGGACCTCTGCAAGTGTTGAGGTGCTGCCACTGCCACTGGACCCTCAAGACTTTCACCCATTGGCCTGTGGTCTACCTGCATTCGAAGTCGTTGCATGTGTTGGGTGAGCATGAAGAGGAATTTATAAGCTAGTATCAGACATATGAGCTTAATATCAGCCTTATGACTTATTCTGGACTGGGCTGGGATGTTTCCTTAATTTATAATTACTCTTTATATAAAGCTTTTTCTTATACACACATGAGTGTCTATGAATTTGTTTCTCTAGTCTACCTGGACTAACACAGTTTGTCTTATTTTTAGTACTTTCTTATAAGAGGATTCCTTGTGGTGCAACAGTTTTGCGATTGGTTGCCAACAAAAAAGTGGGCAATTCAAACCCCAAAGGGGACTTCACAAGAGAAAATACTTGATAATCTGCTTCCATTAAAAACAACATTCTAGAAAACCCGATTGGGAAGTTCTGCGCAATAATCATACTGTTCTCTAAGTATGCTGTTTTTGTCAGTGGCTCCATTCAAGTCAGCCCCAACAAATGGTGGCCCTACTCAACACACAGCAGTCTCGACTACTGTGGTCCACAGTGGGTGACCTTTCATTGGCTGCCATTGTTAGAAACACATTATCAAGCCATCTGCCCTATTCTCTCAGTTCTGGAAGCCTCACTGTAATTTGTTCAGTTGGCAGATGGCTGATGCTGCACAAGAGGGATACTGGGTGGAATTGAACTTGGGTCACCCACATGGAAGTCAAGAATTCTGCCACTGGTCAACAACTTCTTCTAAAAGAAAGATGGACATTTATTTTGTTTTACATATTGAACATCAAATATGTTTTTGTTTTTTACCTGAAACCCTACAGCCCACAGATGTATCTCGGTCTTAAAGTAGAAATAGGGCAAAATAATCACCTATAGTGTATCAAAGTACATTAAAGTTTTTCTAGAAATTTAGAAAATGCCAAAATTCATTGTATTTTGTTTCAATAAATCATGTTGATACAATTGGCTATCAATTTGGAGAAAAAAACTGGTTCTTTTTTAATTCTTTCACTTACCGTATGTACATAGCAAACATGTCAAAGATGTATTTCTTTTAAAGCAAAACCATAAAGTTGATGAAAAAACTTATTAGAAATTCATTAAGATCCTAAAACAAACTGAATTGGTAAGGTCTTTAAAAATGTTTCAAATATTAAAATGGAAAATATAATATTTGACTGAATATAAAAATATGGAATAACATAAATAAAGATAACACTATGAAATGATAGATAAATTTAAGAGTGAACAAAATAGTAGGAAATGGCAATGGATGACAGGGTTAATTCGATAGTGTGCTGAAAGTGCTTACTTTTAATGATCGGGGAAAATAAGATGGAAACCCAACAGAAAGATAAACAAAGGCAAATATTTATTAACAAAAGGGGAAAATTAAGAAACATACACTTTCTTAGTATTCGAAGAGTCAGAAGGCATATTCTGCATTACTATTTAAGGAAACTTCAGAACAATCAGCAAATAAAAGGATTTGCTAGCTAACAAACCAGTGACAATTGTACCAACTCATGGTGTTTGAGCCCAGGCTGCTCTCTACCTTGAGGAGTGATAAGACCTGCAGTATCACCTATAACTCCTTATGAATGTTCAAAAATGTCTAGATATTCACACACATGGGACAATGCTCTATTTATAAAATTTGGATTACAATTTTAATTTTAATATGAAAGTAAGTGGTGAATAGCATTGTTCTAATATAATTTTTCTAATATGCTCCTCTGATTGATAGCTATGCCTCAACCACTATGAAACTCAGATTATTATTAAAAAATATCTTTCCATCTTTTTTAACACTAAATTCAGGCTCTTGTAGATCTTGCATAATCTCTGCTTTGAGAGTCATAGGTGCTGTTGTGTTAAAGTTGCAGGTTTCTGTCAAAAAATCCAAGAGCAAGTCTCCATTTTCATTGCCCTCAATAAAACAGTCAGATATGTCCATGGTGGACAGAAGGTCAGAGCACGTGTACCGAATCCTCAAGTTATCCAGGATCTGCGTGAGGTCAGATGATGTGACATACTGGCAGAGGTCATTCCTGGGTAAACGGGATTCATACTTTTTCCACAGCTTGTACCAGCCACTGGTTCCTGTGTAAGAGAATAAGCATTCATGCTTTCACTTATGTTTGCTTTTCTTTACCATACAGAACACTGGATCCTTAGACTACAGCAAAACCCAAAATAATACTCCTTTGGAGCTTGATTCAAGGACTTCAAAGAGAGAGAAAATTAAACAAATAAACGAGTAAATAGATGATGCACTAGATAGTGAAAAAGGAGCACTGGTGGCAGAGTAGTTACATGTGGGGCGCTAACCACAAGCTTTGCATTTGGAAACCACATACCAACAAGCCAATCTGTGGGCAAAAGACGGAGATTTCTACTCCTGTACAGAGTTACACTCTTATAAACTCACCCTGTCCTGTGGGGTCGCTATGAGTCGAAATTGTCCCCATGGCAGTGAGTTTGAGCTGAGAGGGTGACAAGGGCTAATGGAAACCACATCAGGGTAAGAAAGAAAGGAGTGCCAGCGCTGTGAATGGGCTGCTCTTTGATAATAGGTTGGCCGTGCAAAAGCCTCTCTGATAATATGGTATTTGAGTAGAGTCCCAAAAGTCAACCATACAGATAACAGGAAGAAAAGCAGTCCAGGTAGATGGAAGAGCAACTGCAAAAGATCTAAAGCATCAGCACACTTAGCCTGTTTAAGACCCAGCTAGGAAGTCAGTGAGGTCGGAGTTGAGTTAGCCAGGAGGCAAATTAAAGGAGATGAGGTGGCATTGGTGTTTGGGAAGTAACTGGCTACTAGATGATGTGGTGAAAGTCAGGAAGTCATTGTCGTGCTGCCCAATAGGATCTTTCTAAACTGATGGAGACGGTCTATATCCGTGCTGTCTAATTTAGTGTCCACGAGTCACTTGGCCAAGGAGCAGATGGAATGTGACTAGAGTGATTGGGAAATTATGTTATTTTACTTCATTTTAATGAATTTAAATAGCCACATATGGCTTTTTGTGGACAGCACAGTGTTAGAGTGAGATAACCTAATATATTTTGATAGAGTCACTCTGCCACACAAATGAGAATAAGCTATCGGGGAGATGATCAGAGGCTGGCACACCAGTGAGAAGGCTACTTCAATAATCTGGGTGATATACGAAACTCACTTGGACCAATGAGCTTGGTATTGAGAAGTGGCTGGACTTTAGGTTAGTCTGATCCTTTGTCCAATGGGATTGCCAGTGCTTGGAGGTAGCATGTGAGAGAAAGAAAACAGTTATCAATGCTCCCAAAGTTTTGTGTTGAGCGCACAGAAAGATGGAATTGCCAATGGTCAAGATGGAAAGAAAGGGGGTTGAAAAGTTTTGAAGAGATTATCGGGCAATTTTGTCTTAGAAATGTACATTTGTGATACCTATGGCACACTGAAGAGGTAACATGAGGAAAGCAGTGGTTCAGGTGGTCAGGTCAAGAGACAGGATTTAAGTAAAAACTGAAATGGAAAGAAAGAACATCGTAAATATAATGACGAGTTCCTCAAACCAATGTATGTGGAGGTGGCAGCATCTCATGCCCACATACCATTTACAAAATGCGACCTTGCACCGCCAATTATTAGGATGACACCTAACATTTTTTTCATCCCCGACTTCACATGAAACTGAAGATGCTTCCGTGGTGCCTGTTGTATTTAATGAAAATCTCTGCATAGTGGCTGACACTCGGCATCTGCAGGAGCAGGAATGAGCTGAACTCTTCTAATACTTCATGAAAAATCTTGCTATGAAATTTCTCAGAAGTTCAGTTTCCTCTTCTGTAAATGGGAATAAGGAGCTCTGAGGGTTGAACACTTAGCTGATAACTGAAAAGTGAAAAGTTCAAAACCACCTAGGGGGTCCCTCAAAAATTATAACCTAGAGAACTCTGCAGGGCAGTTTTATTTGGGGTTGCTGTGAGATGAAATCTCTTCAATCAATGGCAGCTAATAATGGCAAGACCAAAAACGGAACTTACCATACTCACCTCAAATGAAACTGCAAGCGTTACATAATCCATGCGCATTATTGCACAACACTAAGCATGTGTCTCATGCCTAAGTGTTTATGCAGTAAATTAACATGACATGGAACTCACGTGCTAATGTATTTCTACTGGTTGTAATCTTAAAAGAGTGTAAAAGTAAATCATAAATTTGTAATTATAACATATCAAAACAAATAAGCACCTAATGATGGACCTTCTAAAACATGCGTGTAACCTGGTACCATTCCATACTCATCTCACACTGTACTAATTAATACCCTGGCCTCTAAAGCCAGATTGCCCCCGTGTAGCCTGACTTTCCCCAGGACTAGCTTCATGAACATGTGCCTCGGTTTCATTAAGTGTGTAGACATGATCAAGAATAGCATCTATTCATGGACTTTCTGAAAGGACAAACTGCGTGAACAAGAGGCCCCTGGATGGATTAGGATAAAGTCCCCAACTTAATTTAACGCAATAATGCAACCATAGTAAAAACTACAAAACCAAGCTTACTGCCATCGAGTCAGTTCCAACTCAGCAATCCTATTACCCTCTGTGCGTTCCCCAGACAAAAGTAGAAAGCCTCGCCCCGCCTTTCTTTTGGGGAGCAGCCGGTAGTTTCAAGTGGCTAACCTTCCAGTTAGCCGCTAGGTGGTTAGCCCAATGCGCCACCAGGACCTCTCCTAGCCATGGTGGCCGCTGTCAACCAATAGACTGCCTGGATAAGTAGTGTTCTAAGATTGCGGAAGAGGGAGTTACACTGCAGAATGTGCTTTAGAAGTCAATGAAACTGGGTTGAAATAGAAAAAATAATACCTCAGTTCAATGAGGATGTTGAGTAAACAATATTTTAAACAATATTGTACTATACAATATTTTATCACATTAAACAATATTTAATACATAAACATTTTATCACAATGATAGCACATTGTCTTCTGAGACTGGAATTTGCCTACAAATAAGAGTCTTCAAGAAGATAAGTATTCCAGTACTGAGGACAGGCTCTGTGATTATTCTTCTTTTTAACCTGGCAGAGAATAAGGACCCAAACACTAATTGCAGAAATTTGCTAGTATCAGTGTTCTGTGACTCGTGCCATTTCTGAGCAGTGCAATTATATGCCCTCTGACTGATGAATTATCATAATGGCTCTCTGTGGACACAACATATGGTGTGACTTTTGTTTTCAACATGATATAAACCAGATTCCTGGCTTCCCACTGTATTAAAAATAACAGCTATGATTTGCCTTCTTCTTTAGTCAGTTAAGGAGAAGGAAGGGCAGAAATTTTCTGTCATTTCCTTCTGAACAATGTGCTTTAACCTGATAAGTTACAATTTAATAACTAACTCTCCCAACTCATGCCTGGCTACTGTATTTTCAGAAAAAAATATGCCACCGACATCATTCTTATGTGTGCTAGTCCTCACTAAGAACAAAACAAAACAATCCATCTCTTTTGCTCTTAAATTCTCTTCTATTTCTCAAACCAATCCCTCTTATAGTCAGGAATGCCTCTGCTACTTATTATTAAATGAGCACTTACTGAACTGGATTCATTCTGTAATGGATACTTAGGTACACAGAGTAAAGACTCTCTCCTCTCAAGGAACATTCTAATAGGTTGACCAGTAAAAGCTGTCATTTAAATGTGATTTCACTTCCCCTTGCATTTCCTAATTAATTTTACTGGCTTATTCTACATGACTCTTTGTCTGGATGTTTCTGTGTGCAACACATGCCTGCATGCACTTATGTGTCTAATGCACAGAGACACAGAGATGGGCTATGTATGCCTTTTCATATTGAGCTCTTTATTAAACTCATTTGCAAATCTTCATAACTATCTCCTCTGATCTCATGTTCGTCATGTAGTCGTGGCCTCTTTTTTTGAGGGGTGAATTTTGCAAACTAGCTGCAGTTCTGATTTCAAAAACAATAGTCTGTTTCAATTAAAACCCATTGATTGAGTGTCTCTGTATGACAAAGGCTTGACAAAAATAAGGGAATTGAAATAGCACCCTCCAGTGAGAGCTCTCCTTAACCACTCTTCATAACTCTGATAAAATGTGGTACAAGTTTAAATCCTCCATTGGATTAGGAGCTTTCTCAAGGGAGAGGGAAAGTTAATAGTCATGTTTGCAAGTTTCATAGTCTAGCACGTGGTAGGCACTCAGTCATAGGTGAATGAGCCAACTCTACAAAAGGGCTATTCTGTTTAGCCAATACGGGCACAGGAATATGGTCTGTGCTTTCAGTAGGGCTGGATATAGATGTGACCATGGCCCAAACTGGTGTTTGCATGATGAAATCTAGAAATTGAATCCATATGGCATTAGCTTATCATCTAATACGAATGAGTGCACATATGTTGTTCAAATACCTTGCGTGATGCACTACATTCAGAGACATGCCCTGTCAGTTTAGGGATAATAGGTCAGCATCTGACGGAGATGGGCAGACTAGAGTTACATGGCATATTTAACGGCCCTTGAGGGGAAGATGTTGATCTAGACACATGTTGAACTCAACCTAGATGAGATGTTGGTAAATCACTGCTCTTAGAAATGTTGTTTCATGAATAAACCTCTTGCCATCAAGGGGACTTTTTTTAACTTTCTCTTCTGAATTGGGTGATGGCTTACAAAGTATATCAGTTTTCCATTCACCAATTCATACATGTATTGTTTCAGCTCGTTGATTGAAAACTCCTGAACGTAACACCACTTACCCCACTTGCTCCCTGGTTCCTGTTTCTCTTCTTTCCTTATCAACTTTGTTCTTGGGTAAGCGCTGCCACTTAGATGGCAAATGACTAATTATTCTAAGATGTGCATATTTAAATAGTGTTATCATTCCCTCTGTAGACCTGTTCATTGTTTGGCTATAAATTGTGCCACACGGGTGAACTTCATTTAGAGACCTGAATGGTGATTAAGCCTCATAGTCTCATGGGTACCACCAGTCTCTATCCAACCAGTAAGTCAACTGCCCCATAGGGTTTTCTATGGTTGATTTTATTTAGAGAGTATATTTCTAAGACTTTTTCCCTAGAAGCTTCTGGGTGGACTCAAACCACCAGTCTATCAGCAGCCAACCATTTAACCACCTGCCCCACCCAGACACTCCATTTTTGTAAATAGATCTAGACTATTCTGAATACACCTACAGTGACAGTTAAGTTTTCTACATTGCAATATAGGCATACAAGATTATTATCCTGAATAAAGAAAATATACAAAGAGGTTTCTCTGAAAATGACTGTAAGAAGCTTTAAAAAAATGGCACCTAGGATGGATCATTTTAGGGTAGGTATTTCAAATTTTAGAACAGTGTTTCATGTTCAACTTAAGAAATGTTGCAACTTAGCATTTGGGATTCGGCTTTTGAAGAGGCAAGCTAGAGCAATGCACCTTTTAAAAGGGTGAGAAGGGAAAAGTAGGGTGCATTTCAGAATGACCTGGGGAGCTTTCTGAAACTTATTTGCTACCTATAAACTCGTTCAGTACATAAGGATTTGAAGCAAAACCATCAAATTACAAAATCAGTGACTAAAAAGGTGGATCATCCCTATATATGTTGACTGATCTGGATTCGTATAAATATATGGTTAAACATGATTACATTCCTTTCCTAGGTTGAAATTAAATTTGGTCTAGTTTTCTAAAAGCTTGCCAATATATTTGTATTGGCTTATTAAAGCAACAAAGAAATTATTAATGTTTGAAAAAAAAATTGGAGCTGCTTGCATAGGCTGATGTAAGCACAGAATTGATCTCAAGAAATGTGTTGTTTGAGAAAACAGGTTCATGGATACTTAAGTTAGTTTAGGTAAATGGTTAAGCAAAAGTTGCTCCTATTTACCAAAATGAAGGCCTTTGGCAGTGCAAATGGTTAACATGCTTGGTTACTAATTGTGTCTGAGTCTACCCAAAGATGGCTTAGAACAAAAGCCTGGCTAATACCTTAAAAAATAATCAACCATTGAAAATATTTTGTAGTAAAGTAAAATTACTAGTTTCTTTCTCTTGAGAAAATGTCTTGGTCTTCTAGATAGGAATCTGAGGTAGTTAGTTTATCTTGCCAACCTGGCCGATAAACACAAGTGGGGTTAATTGAAGGG